CCCGCTGAACGGTCGTCTCCACGATCGCTTGTACTTGCTCTGCCGAGATTCCCCCGGTTCTTTCTCTTTTGTTCCAAAGTTCCTCTATGGTCTTTTTGCAGTGGGTCACGTTCCTCCGCAGGTCTTGTATCGCTCCGTTGCTGCTCGCCCCTCCACCTTTGGGCTGGGACGTGCTCCTCGACTCCTGATCCCCGACCCTTTGGAGTTCCGGCCACTTCTTGCGATTGCCTGGATCAGTGAATATCCCTTCCATAGAAGTTCTTCGCTTGCTCTTTTTTCGCTTGACCTTTTGCGGGCGCCGCTTGGATGTAGTCATATCTCGAGACGCGCTTCTCCCACAGCTGGCGGACCGGCTGCGCGAGCGGGTGCGCGAGTCTGACACGCTCCGTCCCGACTCTCTCGAAAGCCACCGCACGTGCTGCGCGCCGTCGCGACGTCTCCCCCGACTCCGTCTAGGCTCCCTGCTTTTAGTCTCCTTGTAGAACTTCTCCGGGCAGTGTCTGTCGTAGGTCTTGTGGGCCCCCCCGCACAAGGCACACTTCGGCACACACTCATGGTCCTCACCGACCTCAGTGGCCCTGCACGCCGAGCACGCAAATCCTTCCGGCTTGCTGCATACGTCGGTCCGATGGCCCACTTCACCACAGTTCAGACAAGCCGCCCTAGTCTTCTTATAGATAAAGCAGGGAGTCTCAAGCCAATTGAAGCTCACCGTGAACGGTACCTTCTTCCCCGCAAATACGATTACCGCAGACTGTGACTTCCCTAGCCTCCTTGCTTCTAGAACTTCGTATCCCACAGCTCTGGTTTTCTGTCGAATCTGTTCGTTAGTCAGGTCAAGCCGGACACCGTGTATGACGCCGCGGCACGCATCTTCGCTCGGGGAGACATGATACGCTTCGACGTCTAGCACGCCGACAGGAAAATTCAGTTTCTTGATACCTGCGACGGCTTCCGCTTCGCTTCATTCGTCCGTACAAACCATGATTGTGTTCTGTGCTTCCAGCAGCCTTACGACCGTCTTCTCGTCCAATCCTCTCGGCAGGGAGCTCTGGACCGCTTCCCCGATCAGGCTCCTGTACCGCTTCAGGTCCACCGCGACCCGATGAGGTTTGATAAGGACCTTGTGCTTGTAGACTCTGAGACTGGGCAACCTCAGAGTTTTCCTCGACTTGAAATTCTCCGCCGTTGTTCCCCCGGCTTCATCTCGAACTTGTTTCTCGAGGCCTTGTGTCTCCCTCTTGCTCTTTTTCTTCTGCATCAGTACTTGCACCCAGCCGTTGCCGGGTCCTCCGTCCTCCTGGTCCCCCAAGGTGGCATCCTTGATTCCATCATCCCGGAGTGGCCGCTGCGCCGGGTTGATAAATCCATGCGCCACCTCGTCTGGGTTATAGCCGATCACTCGACCGGTACCTGGAGTTTCTTGGGTCCTTGTATCCATCCTCCAGCCTTCAGCCCCCACCAGGACGGCGACCGCCACGCGATAGGCCTAGCTAGGTGGCCGCTCCGAGAAGCTTGGTGCGGCGCGCCCTGCGGCGCGAAGCCTAACGAGTGTTAACAGGCCCTCCGTGGGCCAGAATCGTGACAATGTCCTTGAAATGAGAAAGATTCGGCTCACCGGCATGAAAGTGGTATCGAGCGAAACCGGAACGTTAGCTCTGTCTTCTAAAACACTTTTCACCGCACAGAAAAGGAATTTTCCAAGAAAAAGGACGATTTTCTGCGGAGCCCATAGAACATGCGTCCGCTCTCAGCACGTGCGTGCACGCGCTCTCCATACAGCCTAGAACTTGGTCTGTCTCAATGGGCGACGAGTCTCCCAGCTGTATATGAGAAATTTAGCCAGTGCGGTACAACCGCTAGCCTGGGGTCTTGAACGTGCATCACGCAGTAGTGATACACGACCGCACGCCGGTACGATGCTCATCCAGATCGAAACGGGCAGGGGTGGTGCTCGAACCCAGGATCCCTGGGTTCTGCAGCGATCGCTCCACGTGCTCCGAGCTGGTGTGCGCTAGACCACTCGGCCACCGATCCCCCCCGTTCATAGGCCAGTAACTTGGCATTTGTCACCTGGGCGATGAGAGCTGGAAACGTGCACGGACGCTTTGCGCACGCGCCAGATTACATACGGCGTTGCTGACCTCCTCTTGTTTTACCGATATAACAAGCCAGTGAAGTTGGCTTTGACGAGCCTCTACAAAGGCCAATGCTGGGGGAGAGGGACGCGGTAGAATCTATAATAAATGGCAATAACCTGTCCTGCTGCGGTAACGATGGAGCGAACTGATCAAAATTAGAGGAAACAAAAGCTGAAGGTCGGATGGCGGCGCTCGTGCAGAATAGCAGCAGAGACTCTGCATTTTCTGTTTCACGTTGAGTCCGATCGCCGCCTATGCTACGATCCGATGCAGCCAATCAGGAAGCGTCAAAAGTGCATCGTCCCGGCGTTCGTCGTCTTTGTGCGTCTGCTACCACCGGCTGGACCAATCAGGCGCGGTGAATGCACCGCGATCCTGCGCATCTTTTTTTCTGCGCGTGATTGGTTCAGTTAGTGGTAGCAGACGCTCAAAGACAACGAGCGCTGGGACGATACAGTTTTGGCGCTTCCAATGCTAACCAATGCTACACATCGGAGTGTAGCATTGGCCGAGGTCGGACTCAATTTGAAACGGAGTATCGACAGACAATCTGTTTACAAACAAGCGAACGTTTATCCGTACGAGGTGTGGGCACAGCGCGTCCGCAGAAACCAGATTCGAACGGAGTGAAGCTCCTGCGCATGCGCCGTGAAGACGACAGTGCCACCACAAAGGCGTGTCTTCATAGCCGCGTATAGGGAGTAATCGCTGTCGGCCACGTCTGCGGGGCGCGGCAGCTGAGTGTGTGCTGACGGCGGGCTTCCACAGTTCGTTTGCAACATGCATTCCCCACCATCGAGACTACCGGTTTTAGCAGTCTATAATAATGCGAGCTCGTTCTGAACATGCGCTCTAAAGATCACCCTCAAATATGGCGTCCAGTGAATATACCAGTCAACTTTCCAAGGGAGAGGGGGCCGGTCAGGATGGTGACGACCGATGATGATATTCGCCCGATGCAAGTCCCTCGGGAAGTCGAATAAGAAAAAAACTAAAAGTTGTTCGATCCCGCTGGACACATTACGACGTGGTTGGTTTACGATGGCCAGTGGGGCCATGTTTTTTTTTTTTAAACAAAACGACAACAAGTCAACAGTAATTTACAGAACTTCCAAAATTAAAACCCATACTTCAGTCCCCCGTCTCAAGAGCGGACCCTGCATGATCTCAAAAGCCGAATCCCCGAGAATCCTCTCGGCACCCCTTTTATAGACTCGTAGGGGCCTCCTTTCCCTCCAGAGACGGACCAACCACTTCAATTTGCCCATTGTCACTTGGTACACTCTTACACAATGATCAGCGAGCTGTCAACGTGACTCCCCTCCGACACTCCAACGGTCAAACCCGAATTCTCTGTAGATTAACCACATGCTTTCTCAGCCGTCTGGCTGGCGCCACCAAGTTAAAGGGGCCCTGCAAGCACTTTTTTACTGGTTTTTAATTTGCACCGAACCTGAGCGCACTGAACGTAGTAACCTTTTCTTTTTCTCGAAATTCGCTTTACTTTAAAAGTTACAGGCGAAATAAGTTACAAAAACAAGCAAAAAATAACCTCCTTCATGACGTCCTTTGTTGCTTGAGAGTCCGTGAACTAGAGGAGGGGTAGTGAGCTATGCGAGCGCTCACGGCTGCCGCACTCCGTGTCGACGGCGCGAGAGGGCGCCACAAAGGCATCTTCTGTATAGGCTGTATACAGCGGGCAGCCAGAGCGGCTCTCATTGCATTTGCTGCTCGAATAAACGCTAATTCTACATGACACTTCATCGGCCACAAACTACAGCAAACACGGGGTAAATATCAGTTCAGAATGGGAGCCACTTCGCGCTGCCGTACCGCAAAATGGCCAAACCGCATGACAAAGCTGCTCGCCGAAGGCCTTCGGAACGCTCAGAGCCGGTCGGATCCCCCAGTCCGTAAACGACCGCAGCGCCGCCGCGTACATCCAGGACCTTTCCGTGTCGGCACCAGATCCCATTACTCCTTTCTAGTATGCGCCGCCTTTTCCACCGCTTTGTGGCGGGTATGTCGACGAATCATTTCTTGTTTCAGTACTTTATAAACTGCATTTGTTTGTTTTTTTCTGATCTAAAATAGTAAACAAAAACTACTTTTATAAATAATTGAACCAGTTCGCGCCACTTATATTTTGTATTTCGACTAAAAAGAAGCTTTCAGCGGCACTGACCAGTAGTAAGCCCAGGACCTAAGACGTCACATATCGCGCGCTTTCGGTACCGCGGGTCGCCCCCGTCGGTGGAGGAGGTTTCCGCGTCGTCCGGTTAAAATATGACGCACTGATATTTAGTTACTTTCTCCGTGCCCGCTGACTTGCCCGAACCCCAAGAGACGTGGAAACCGCAAAAAAGGTAGACGCTTAAATATGACTGCAGGGCCCCTTCAAGTTATTGCGTCGACTAAATGCGAAGTTTTCTACACTAAGCGGCAAAATACGCCGGACACAAGCACACCCGCTCAAAAGCCACAAGTGCGGACAGAAGTCCAAGACAGGGGTGTTCCGGCGCCCCAACTGAAGCCCAATCCGTTTGTTAACGATCGGGGTCCGACTGTTCTCTACCGAGCCCCGCGGCTGCTCGAAGCCCCCCGCGCTTGAGAGAACAAGACGACTCCCCGTTCACGCTCTCACCCCCTGCTGCGGGTCTGCGAGCAAACGCCCAAAAATGTGGACACAAACATAGGCAGATAAAAAAAAAACGATGCCGACGCAACTGTAGAAAGAGAGACTTTTCTAAAACAAATCTTACTTTTTTCTAACAAAATCCTTCGTTACTTAACATACCCCCTATATGATGAGCAATAGTAAGTGTTGGTTTGGAAGCCGTGCTGTTCGAACAACCTCACCTTTCGGTACACCTTGAGACGCAGCGTTGCCCCACCTTCCAGGGTGTCCAGCTTTGCATCGTCCCAGAAGGACTCGCTCATGATTTTCCGATCGGGCACCAGGTGGCGCTGGAGGAGCTTCTTGAGGGCTTCAGAGTCCGTGGGCAGGAACACACGCTCGAAGGCATCGTCGGTGGGTGCGAAGACGGTGAAGCTTCCCTCGGAGAGCTCGGATGCCAGACCGGAGTCGGCCAGCAGGGACACGAACGTGGACAAGCGGTCCGACCGTTGGGCCATCAGGTCGACCAAACTGCGAGCTGCGCGGCAATGAGCAGTAGGCCTTTTTTTCTATATAATTCTTGAATGTCCATGTCCAATGGCGGGATGCACGCTTGCCATTTCCCATTCCCGAATAAGCCCCGAGGAAGCCTGGAATCGGAGTCACTCTGCTTATCTGCTAATACATCACGAGAAAGACACGGTGTTTCCTACATACATGATGACCGGTTTATCTGCGCTTCAAGCATGTTTACTTCATATATGCTTTGACCATGGCTACAGACAATATTTGACGAAAGGACCCTCATATACAAGGAAGAGACACGTTTCAAACAATGTCTGCCCTCTCTCCTTTATATTATGTAGCGACAGTGCGACCGCGGCTTTAAATGGCCATGTACGGCGTGTCACTGAAATAAAGTTTACAATGTTCCTTTTTTCAACGATTCTTTCATAGCTGCCACTTGTTGGACATTGTTTTTAATAACTGGTAAGAATGCTTCCAGTGTACAGGACAATGACACCGTATTTCAAGTTGTTATTTTAGTGTTAATGTTTTCATCTGACTCACCCTGGCACGCGCGAGTTCAACCAGCCCCCCCCCCCCCCCTGTTTAACTATACTTTGTCTTCGTGAATGTTGATCGGCGAATCTAGAGAGCATAGATTGAAGAGAGGGTCCAGCTTCTATGGTGGACGCCTCCCGCGGAGATTGGTCTCTAGTGCGCATGCGCTTCGTGTTCACGTGGCAAGGGGTAAAGCAGGAGGAAAGGCGAAAAAACCTGCCGGCGATCCACACTGCCGCTTCCTCGCAGCTGGTATTGCAAACAGAGACCGTAAACCACGTGAACCACGTAAACCACGTGAACCATGTAAACCACGTGAACAACTCCAGCGAAATTCGCAGCAATACAGCGACTAGAACAGAAAGCTGTGCCGGCAGGCTCGCTCGACAACCATCTCGTGCGAATTAGCGTGCCTACATGTCTGTCTGTCTCAGGGTGAAGACATCCGTTGTTGCACTGAATGTGCCAGCGCGTGACACTCTCGCGCACTCGGTGCGTGACTTGGGCGATAAAAAGGCGTCTATGCATTAGCCAAAGCTGCGCGCTCGAGCTGAGTAACACCGTATTGCGCGCACTTCAAAATGCATAGAAAGAACGATTGGGCGGAAAAATGGCCGAGATGTCACCACTCAAGCAAAAGCGCGCGTGTGTATGAAGGCACTCTACTCTAGTGCGAATCAGAAATGCACAGCCCCTGGCGGTCTAAAGACGAAGCCATGAAAGTGGGTTGGAAAACGCGCATTGAAAATCGTCCATAGAGCGAGAGGTGGATCTTTGCTCTAGGGTTGGTGACACCAATTCAGTCAACGCTACGGAAGAGCACATACCTTTGTCGGTCATGAGGATGCCCGTAAGGACGGAGATGTGTCCGTTGCCTCCGAGCATCATCTCGCCGGTGAAGCGGTGCTCGTTCGCGTAGACGCCGCTGGCGTTGCAACTCAGCTCCAGCTTGTCCCCGCTCAGGCTCTTCACGCGGTGCTCAGCGATGATCGCCGGGGCGCACAGCGATCGCGGCACGACGTGGTTGCGGATCAAGTCTGCGGCAGCAGAGAGTTGCGTCCGCAGGTTTGAAACAAGGGCAAGAATTGAATTGAAGTTTATCTGGATTTTCACGTGCCAAGCTTGGTAAGGGGTTACTGAAAAAGGACATTTTTACGTGACTGAGACCACTACATACTAAAGACGTATAATTAAAAAAAAAAAAAAACACAGGTGAAAACATTTACTCACTCATGCGTGCGTACTAAAACATACACTTCTAAAAGAAAAAAATGACTCAGTAGTAAAGACAGAGTAAGAAATTATCAATATGTTTAGCGAAGGGGGTAGTAGTGAGCAGAGTAACAAGGTAACACTGTTCAGCGAACGGGCTGTTAAGTGACCAGGGTAAGAAGGATGCGCTGTTCAGCAAACTGGGTGTGATCAGTGACCCGAGTAAGAAAGGGCTACTCTGTTCAGCAAACGGATCAGCAGAGTAAAGAGGTCACTCTGTTCAGCATACAGAGTATAATCAATGACCCCAGTAAGAAAATGTGACTCTGTTCAGCAAACGGATGAGCAGAGTAAAGAGGTCACTCCGTTCAGCAAACACGTTGTAATCAGTGACCCGAGTGAGAAATGGTTTTTCTGTTCAGCCAACAAGGTGTCATGAGTGGACAGGTAAACATGCCACCCTGGTAGGTCAGCACTAGAATAGTAATGACCTGTGGATTATCCTTCTCTTCCTTCATGGAATGTCATCCACGCATCGATTGGACGCAAGGCCCAGTCAAACACTTCCGCAGTATTCATGTTCGAGCTATGTTCGCACTTAATCTCACCGTGATGATGTCGAAATGCTGAAGCACAGGATTTGATTACCCAGGGCGGTGTTGGTTTGGTGCTGTTAACGTGCCATTCTAGGTCCTTTTTATTACCCGCGGTGACGTTGAGGTCCTGGCTGATCCTCTGCAGCTGTCCCGGTGGCATGGCCTGGAAGGCCTCGTCGGAGGGCGCCAGCAGCGTGAAAGGCCCCGGTTCTCGTCGCAGCTGGGCCACGAGGGCCTCGGAGCGGAGCATCATTCGAGCCATCTCCCGGAACCGGCCATCCTCCATCAGCAGCTGCGGAAGGCTCGCTGTGGACGCCGGGGACAGGATGCCTTCCAGCAGGTGCACGAGACCGTCGGTGGCCTCGTGGTCACGTCGCAGCACGGGCACGCAGTTCACCGTCGTGATCTGGGTGGACATAGAGATCCTAGATAAGAGCTTCCTACAAGTCGCTACATTCTTTGAAGCGCCGACTGCGTGACGGTGCAAGTTTTAGGAAGCGAATGGTGGTTAACAGCGGAAGACTGAACTGAATGACGCCGTTTTGTTTCAATGGAATTTGCTTCGTCATTTGCATTGGTTGTCGTTACTTGCAAAAAGAAGTATAAAGGGATTTTAGGTGGACATGGCTTCCGCGTGACGTCGTTTGATCACACTGGTTTGCGGCGAACAAGTGCGTCTACTTCCTGCTGAGGGAGTGTGGTGACGTCGGAGTGCACCGAGCTCGGATTGGAAGGATAGTGGTTAGACGCAAACTATACTTCGTTTCACCTGTCCAGAGCAGCCGACGCTGATTGCTGATGGGACCAATCAGAGAGCGTCAAAAGCGCACCATCATGGTGTTGGTCATGTTTCTGTACGTGTTTTATCATCGCTTAATTATTCATAAACAAAAAAAAAAAAACCTAGTGACTTCTGCTTTTGAAGTTGCATGATTAGTCTCATTACCTCATAGCGTCGGCTGCGTCTAGCCTTAAGATGAAAGAAGTATAGACGAACTCAACTCACTGACGTCTCGCCACTGCGGTGACGCTGCTGTCGGCACTGCGCATGCGCAAACGCTCCACTCCTCCCGAATTTGGTTTCTGCGCACGCGCAGTGCCTACACCTGGTGTGGGAAAAGCGGGCTTGCTTGGAAACACTGTGTTGGTGTATAGCTGCCCTTGTTTCTGCTTACCGTTCGAAGGCGTTCAATCGCCGCACGCCGGCGTTCAGCGTTCGCGTCTGACGCGAAGTTCGAACACTGTTTCTCGTTGAATTTTGAGATACGAGTAAAGGCACGTGAAAACGTACCGTGGAAGAAGAGAAGAACGTACCGCTCTCCTCTTCCGGATTACCTGTTGCGTATTTTTCCCGGTCGCTCTAATTTGTTCGAGGAGGCCCCCCAGCCTTCGCTCCTTTTAAGTCACCGTGGGTTCACGCTACCGATATGTTTCCGCCCCCCCCCCCCCCCTCACACACACACACACACTTTGATCGCACGCAGTCAGCATCGGGTACTACAAAGAGTGCACTATCACGATAAAAAGAACATTGAGTTTTCAAAACATACTTTTGCGATATTGGTGTTCAAAATTCATCTATGTGTTTTTAGCTTAAACCACAACAAAGGGTATAAATCGAAGTTTTTTGTCTCTGAACGCTCCTCAACTTCACGAGCGCAAGTTCAAGGGTGGAATTCGCTAAAGCTACACTCTGCCTCTTGTAGGCCTTGCTGCCTAGCTTGCAATCTGTTTCCTCTATCAACTTGTTTCGTGGTTAAAAATTTACCTGGCTTAGACATTCCGTCAAATGCAATGTAGGGGCGATAGCACTAATACGCAGTTCCTACCCTACCACGCATACACCATTTTATACTCGGAGGAAAGAGAGGAGAGTGTTAAAGCTCCACTTACCCCCCCCCCCCCCCCCCCCCCCTCCAACTTCTCTTCGTACAGGGCTACACAATTGGTCGCGGCAACTATGTCGTCAAACCAACAGCTGCCGCACTTTACCATGGCCCTGCTGCGGTGAGACCACCTAACAAGGCCGGAGGGTTGAATTTTCGACGTCACCGCGTGCTTCGTCGGCGTCCCGCACGGCCTTGTGCTCTCACTGCCTGAACATGAGTCTCAACCGAACGCTGACACAGGACTCATGTCAAAATCGTGCCCCGCGATTGCCTCTTTAGACGACGTCGAAAATTAAGCACTTCGCCCGAGATTGTGAGACGCGGGACAATCTCCACCGCAAAGATCTTCACTCTTTCCACCTTCCACGAGAAAGAGCGAGTGGACTCGTCTCCTCTTCACCGTTCGCTCTGCCAAAGTGGAAAAGGAGTTTTGTGGGAGGAGCACCTGCTGCTTTAACCTGCAACACGGCATAGGGGGCGTTGCACAGGAGCAAGAGAGGTTCGTGCTCCCATAAAAAGCTATCGTTTTGGGAGAACTGCGAATCACCCCGTTGGAGTATCGGTTCACGTGGAGGAATCCCCCCTGCATGTTTGGCAGCTGCGGCTCGACTTCGTGGATTTTGGCTCGTCCCCGGACGACGTGCTGCAGAAGGTTGTCCTCCAGATGGGCCTCGAACGCTTCTTTCTCTCGTGGAGTGAGAGCCTAGAAGAAGAAAAGAAATCGATTGACCATGCTAACAGACCGATTCGATCCCCAGAATGCCCGACGGACGATGCAGAACGGTGCCGTTTTATAGTCCACACCGTGTGTATATTCTACACCCGGTGCATGCTCCAGGCTTAAAGAATTCTCGTACACAGCAAATTTCGAAAAATGCCTGCTGTAATAACGCACAAAAGAGCATGTTCCATACAGAAATCATCGGTAACATAATCTGTGCTTTACAATATCCGCCAGTCTTGTCATGAGGAGCGATCTTGAAAAACAAATCCTCGTATATTTGGCACCTCGAGGCTGTCCGGACGCACCGCGTAATATTTCAACTCTTGAACATGTATAAACCTGCCCAGCGCTTAGCACCCAAGCGAAAAATGCCGAGTCACTATAGGCTGTGGGCGCATGCGCGACATGTCACATTTTGTAAAAGATAGTTTTGGAAGACGTTCAGAGCGCACGCTCAGAACGTCTTCCACAACCCAGTAGAAAAAGATGGCAGCTCGCTGAAGGCGATCATTGGGAAGGTCTATAGTCGGCGTAGTCCGAAGAGCACGCTACCAACTACCATAGCCTCCTATATACTGATAAAGTCTGGCAGATCCCTACAGAAAAAAATCAAAAAACATTTGGCGCCTATATGAAAGTAAACGGGTTCATACCATTAACAGCCTAGCCATACCGGCCACCAGTTTGTCAAAGGGGTCGCCCGTATGGCTCAAAGGGGTCCCCCGTATGAGCCACCACGGTCACCTAGTTGGACAAACAGGTCACTCCTTTGGCTAACGGGTCGCTCGTCTGGGCAAATGGGCGACTCGTTTGGGCAAATTTGTCGCACGTTTGCTCAAACCGGTGACCATGTTGCACAGACGGGTGACCGGTGACCGGCAAACTGTACCGGTTTAATAAAACGGCTCTCCGGAGCCCGTTTGATATTGAACGTACAGATCTGCGGCAAGGGTACGCCTGTTTCAGCCGTGGCAGCCAATGTTTCCGGAAGGCCGGGAGTGCCGATTCATCGATTTCAAATCGTCCGCGTAATGCAAGCATTTATATATTAATATAAATATACATATATTAAATATATATATATATTAAATATATAGAGTGTCCGTATAAGCGCTGATGCTTGCTTATACTGACACTAAAACTGTCACTTTTTACGTAAACGGTCGACGTTGATGAGCCGATATTTTTGACAGAACTTTAAAACTTTTTCCATCTTTGTTGCCTCAATTTACTTATTCAGCTCGAATCTCTCTCGCAGAAGACGCGGCCGCGTGAAAGAATATACTTCTGGACTCCGTTTCACTTCAATTCAAGACGCAGCGAAGGTAGCGCTCGAACACGTGGCTGCAAGAACATCGTGCATTGCGAGAGCACGCCCGCCGTTGCAGCAGTCAAACTGCGAGCTCGCGCCGAGTCCTTTCTTCGCTCGGGCGCGGACCGAGCTTCTGGCCGGCGCCATTTTTAGCGTTCGAGCGTGTTCAAATGTGCGCGATTCGCAGGCCTGCTTTCCGAGGCTACAAACACCTGGTACTGGAATCCCTGAGGAGAGGGTACGGGGCTGTCCCAATGTCGTGCGCCTTCCTCGCGCCCCCCTCCCTTCTCTCTCGTCACCTCTGTAACGCGACCCGAGGGAGGGTAGGGCACCAGCAGCGCGCGAGATACACCCGTATAAGCATTGGGCGCGTTCAGTAACGGCTCCCTCAGCTCCGAACGGAGCCACTCCAGTCGCAGTCCTCAAAGCGAACGGCAAAAAAAAAAAAAAAAAAAAAAAAAGAACCGCGGCTTGAAACTTGCTTTTTTCCCTGTGCCAGACGGTCTCCGAATAAACTGGAAGCAGACGATGGCGAGCACGATCGCTTTTATTTGACGCCGATATTGAGCAAGTCTTGACAAGGTCGTTGAAGAAAAAGCGAGTGACTGTATGTACACATCAGCGCTGATGTTCGAAGCGATCCCACGCGATCGAGCCCTTCGCAGGGCGGTGCAAAGGCTGCTTCTGTATAAAAACCGACAAAAACGTCGTCAGCACATGCAAAATATAGAGCTCGGCGAATCTACGCCGCCGTTTGCGATACCCTAATACGGCCATAAGTTTGTTCTGCCCTTCGTAACGAACTTCCTATAAAATGTATTCGTATACACACGGGAAGTTCGGCCGCGCTCGGCGATCAAGGTTTTGTCGGCCGAAGCGAGCGTCAGCCAACGTGCTTTAGCTACGCAAACAAAACATCAATCGGGATCAGGCTTTGCGTGAGTGTCCAACCGGCTTCCAAAGACGCGTTCCTACCCTGCTTTGCTCTGTTCAGCGCGGACAGGACTATCGTCGATATTACCGAGTTTCCGTGAATCGGCGATCAAGACACGGCGTCAAATGAACGTTTACGTTGTTTATAAGCATATTCATACCGAACGAAATACGGCCCAATGCATTTTCCGAAAAGAGCCTTACCTCGAAAAGAAATTCGAACGTGTTATTCGTCTTACCTTGATCACAAACGGCACACCCACGACAGGACCGACGCAGCTTATTCCGCCATTTCGTTTTTTTTTTTTTGGGGTTTTTTTTTTTCTTTTTTAGCGCCGGAAATCGTCCCCAATCAGGAAATGACGTCATCTTTAGCTCCTTTGAGTTTACGTGCACCGTCTCCGGACTCGGTGCTTCGGAGCTTGACTCCGAAGCCCCGGAGTTAGGTGCACCGGAAGTGACTTTTGGCTGTCCAGTGGAAGGAGTCAGTGACAGCTTGACTCCGGGTCCGCTACTGAATGCGCCCATTGCCTCTGAGATCCGGAAAGGAGCGCCTGGCAGCCGGTTTTTTTTTTTTTGTCTGCTTGTTGTCCGCTACAGTTCGAACTTCGTTCGTCCTGCCTGCTTCGATATGTCGCTTAACTCTGCGGTCTTATTTGAATGTCTCGACAACGTATTCGATGTGCACCAACGCTATCAGTGTTCGAAAAGTCCTATGCGTATATCGACAACAAGCGAATTCTCAAAGAAGACAGGAACTCTTGCGGTTCGGTTGGGTTCGGCAAATGACAGCTTTTGCGCCGCATCCTGTTGAACCTTCAAGGAACACTTCTCGTTTTTGTTTTGTTTGTGTGGTTGTCCTGCTTTGACCGTGTCGACATATATCTCGGATTACATCTTTTAAGTACGCTATTATTATGGTAAGTGCACTGCAACCTACTTCTTGGCAAGGATTAACCGTTCTTCTACGCGTACTCTTCCAGATTATGCAGCGCGTATTCTCACGGCAGCCGGGAGAATAATTTCCCCGAAAGTCTACCTTTATAGTCTAGAATCACCTCGGTTCGTGTTTGCTTTGCAATCTTTTCAGTTGTATAAAAGCTTAGAGTCCCTCTCACATTTCACAGATCGCTTGCACGTTTGTACTTGTCTACAGAATAGGTCATAACAAATTTCTAGGAGCATTGAAAACAATCATTTGTGTCTCTTTCCCTGGCCACTTGTAAGAACCTCAGTGAGCACATTTGTTCTACGTGTTTTCTCCATGTTATAAATAGGTTTATGAGTTTCGGGACGTCTTAAATAAGTTTTAAGATGACCAACCTTCCAGACGATACCCATTTAGGGCTCGCGAATAATTTGCCTATCCGAATGGCGCGTTCAAATGTGTGGTCACGTGCCAGGTCGAAAGGGCACCCGTATCAAACGGGTATCGTTTCAAACGGGTTCCCGTATCCCATAATCACGTTTAATCCACAGGAATCGGCAAATTCGCCACCCATTTGATTCAAACGGGTCCACCAGTCTGCGATCCGTCGGAATTTCAAACTTTTTTTTTTTAGTCAGTAGGGGTCGCCACGAAAAGCGACCGCCAAAATGGAAAAGGTGGAGCGGCAGACAACGGATGAGAGGAGAGCCACATGACTGGCGCCACGCGGCGGCGAGACGCCGAAACACACTTGTCCCGAGCGAACAAGCGTGTTCCGGGTCCTCGCCGCTGCAAAAGCTGTGCGCTGACGTTCAGGTTCCCCGAGAAATAGCTCGTTGATGCTCTGTGCCACCAGATCCTCGCGTTCCAAATCTGCGACCGGGCTCTCCATGGCTCCGTCGTCGAACTGCCAGGCTTTGTGAGTATACAGGAGGCTATGCAACTACTACGCTCTGTTCACGTCCAAGCTGAACGTACGGTAGATGTGTTCCTTGTACCAGCCATACGCCTACTATTCGCCGTGTGATCGCGCTGCCTCCCCATAGGCAGAGAGCAGGGTCAGGTGATAAAAAGGAGGCGGTTGACTGTTCGGCCAGTGCGTAGTTGTGACCGCACTGTCAGCTTAGGGGTGAACTGGGTATAGACGTCATTACAGGTGGAACATCTGGGTGAAGGACCAACAGATAATCGCGCGAAACTCAGAACTCGACGAAGTTCCATGGCGTTTTTTTTTCTGAGAGCGCAGCTCTTAGGCGCTTGTTTCCGCGTTTCGCGGCGTCGGCGTAACCGCTTCGCTAAATTTAGAAGGAAATTCAATTGGTGTTGAAGTCGCGTGAAAAACGCGGGGAAACTTTACCCACTAAATTTAGCGGGAAAATTTAACGAGAGGAGGAGCGGTAGAAGAGGAGGAGGGGGAGGGGCATGCCCTCCCCTCCGTAACCTCCCCTCGTCCTCCTCAGGAGCTGCGCTCTTTTTTTGTATTACAGAGATTTGTAAACATCTTTCATGTTTTTTTAACGAACCAGGCGTGGGAAGTTCTGTAAATAAATTGCAAATATGCTCTTCAAAAGCAGACTAGCAGTCCTATTGCCAGACCAGTAGGGCAGCTAACCTGATGTCTTTAACATACATCACGCAGTAGTGATAAAACATTGATTCAGACTGAAAAGAGCAGAGGCGGGAAACCGAGCCTAAGTAAGCGAGCTTCCGCTCTTTGTTGTGGTCCAAGCTGCGCGTATCCCCTGTGGGAAGCGGCACTGAAATTACGCTTTGATAATTTCTGAATAGACCGTGAGAGAATCGGGGT